GAACTGCCCAGGGTGGTGGTGGAGTCAATGCCCCTGGAGGTGTTTAAAGATGGACAGCACATGGTACTTAGTGCCATTGTCTAGTTGACATGGTGGTGTTAGGTTATAGGTTTACTCAATGATCTCACAGGTCTTTTACAATATATTTGGTTCTGGAATTCTCTGATAACTTGTTCTCAAGAAGAGGATCTTTGTTGCCTTGATGATTTTATAGGTTTTATTGCACTCAGAAATCTGTGTTCATTACAGAGTCAATTTCTTTCAAGAATGCATGATTGGTCTCTTTACTGCAGTCATTCCACTGACACTTGGATATTTCACCAAAAATCACCATGATGGGATGGTACTAGCCAATCACCAATGCGGTAGTGCTCTAATCAAAATGTCTGCTTGCTACTCCAGCCATCTCTATCAAAATTTGAGAGTTTGTTAACTACTGAATATAGCCATGTCTATTCAAAATTTGAGGGTTTTTTTGTTTTACCTCTTTCTCTCCTTAAAAAAATAAATCAATGAAATTGATTTAATATTTAACAATGTAGCTTAAGTCTGATCAAAAGAAGATTATTCCTGTCTTTAGAACTACATAAATCCTTCCCTTATATTAATATGATTTGCAAGATCTGCTTTGGTTTACTAGCTGAATGTTGGGATTCATTAGCCAACCTGGAATGTTATAATCTTTGTCTATAGCACTGATATCCAGATTTTCCAGAGTATGTGTTTTGTATCAGGACATTCCTGAAAGCCTAAACATTTCATTTACGGTCTTTGTCAATGAAGCGATTATGCCCTTTTGTATTCAGCAAAGTAGTTAGCCTTTGTTCAGCTTTAAATATCTTGCTTATTTTTTACCCACAACTTGATCAATGTTCTTCTGACTTAGAGGACATTTTATGATGTCTTAAACTAAACACTGTTCTCTAAGATGTGCTTTTGCAACCAAATTCAGATGGGTTATCTCTGACTTGAAGAAAGACAAGCTTGAAATATTCCATTGTACCTAAGATAGCAATAGATAACACAAATTTCGTAGTCTTAAGTCACTGCAGCTTGATACTTGTTTATTCTTTAAAAAAAAAGTTTTAAAAATAAATATTTGATCTCTGAGATGCTACCTGGCTTTTGAAGGTTGTATAGAAATTTGTGGAGGACAAAGGATTGCTTGGCCTATTGAGACTTATCATTACATCATTCCTCCCTAAGTCATTCCTAGATTTATGATGTCTGCAAAATCTGACCTGAAAATCCATTTCAGACATTCATTACTGCTTCAGTGAAAAAGTATTTCCAATGTCTTTGGGCATTTTGGATGTGTCCATGCTATATTGAAAAATAACAAAGGTTGGCATTGTCTGTTCCAGCATTCAGAACACATGCTTCAGTTCCCAAATACTTGTATCTTAAAGTTGTGTTCCCCCACTTCTGGCACTTCTCTTACTGGAATTTAATCAATTACTGTTAAAAAATTGCTTTGTTGACCTTCCTCAAAAGTTATAATTCATCTTTCTATTAGAAAGCAATGAAAGCTGAAAATAGAAGTCTAATTGGATGAGAATAGTGAAACTGTTCTACTAGCAGTGAAATAGCCAGACATGAAAAAATGTGATTTGAGTAGTACTACTTCCAGACAATTACAACTTTTCAATATAATATTTTTTTTAGATTGCATAACTATTTGAACTTTTTTTAAATACTAAAGTTCTCAGAAATCTGGCACTCAAATTGGGACTTTCAGCTTCAGACTCATTTATGCACATGATTGAGATGTATTTTTGTATAAGTATTGAGCTGGTTTATATTTGTATGGCTAATACTTTCCATGAAGATTTATAAATTGTTAAGTCATTGGAAAGATAAACAATTAAAGAAAGATATGATCTCAGATTTGGGAAGATGATGCATACAGTTTAGCATAATTCTACTCCTTCAAAGTACTCATTTTCTCTCTAAGCTGCACCAATTCCCATAAAAGCATATATCTCTCTTGCTTGGCAAGTTGACCTATACTTGCCAAGTATAGGTCTTGTCGCGTAAAACTGCGACAGATATCTGACAGAATGCACTCTTTGTTATTTAAGGGGAATTGTTTTATATAATACTAATGCTGAAAAATATGAAAATATGTGTAAGAACTTAAATACCTGTATGAACTGAAAGAGTTGTTATAAGACCCATCTAATGTGCCACATACTGGATCTAGCTAGATTTATGACCCAGTATATATAAATAAATAGATACATATAGAATATGACTGCAATACTAAGTATTCTGTTTAATATCACATGGAAAGACTGCTACTCTTCACTACATTAAAGTTGTCATCAAATTGTTGTTCTTACTGGACTGATGTAGTAATCTTACACATCAGCCTTTCACTGGTGGCAGCCACTGCAAAAACAATTGCCTGAAGAATTATTTGATCTTCAAAGCCTGTCTGTAGTCCCATTATATTACGCCTACACATATGCATATGGTTCAGTCTAAAAGCACTTATAGTCAGACCACAAATTTTAAGTTGGGCCCCTTATAGGAATGAAGTTGGGAAAGTTACATCATCTCTTATGGCATGCTGTATGTTCTGCCAAAGCTGTCTACACCAAACACACAGTTAACATGTGTAGCTTATTCCCACCTCAAGGAACAACTAGTTCTGACACATTTGTAATGTGTGGATGTGACACGAATGCAAATAGAATATGCTTATGCAAACAGCAAAAGGTCATGCTCTAAAAATGCTGGGATAGGCTGTTCAGTATTTTCAAGAGAGCACTGAACACATATAAATGTCTCAAAGCATAGTAAGAGATGTATATTTGGTTTCCAGGATCAGTGGTTTTGGCGAGTCAGGAACAACAGGGTTATGGATGGATACCCCATGCAGATTACCTACTTCTGGAGAGGACTGCCTCCCAGCATTGATGCAGTTTATGAAAACAGTGAGGGGAATTTTGTCTTCTTTAAAGGTAAGAAAAGAAGAAAAGTAAGATTTTGTGCAATACTTTTTACTGATGATTTCTTGAAACATATACTACTTATTTTTTTCTAACCATTTGTAAATCTTGTTGCAAATTGCTAGTTAAATGAAGAGCATATGAGTTGTGTTTTCTCATCTGGCAACTACAGCTATAATTTATGTTACCTTTCACAGTCTCGGTTCATTTGCTCATCCATGTTCAGTAAAAATTGGGGAGTATAAATAAGAGAGCAATGCAGTGATCCACTATGAAATTCTTTCTGAAAAATGTGAAGCAACTATGCATAGGAAGCAACTATGAACGCATTTCCATTATTAATTTTTTTTTTTAGTTCTCTTTGGTCTCATACCATTTTACAAATGTACTTTGCATATATTTAAATGGCATCTGTGCTATATATGTCTCACTGTACTGCACTCTCTTTGTTTCATCTGAGAACTGTTGTGTTAGGATTTTTAGATGGGAAAATTATCTTTTTCATAGATCTGTATTTTGTATTTTTAAAGCATAAACTCCAGAAAATATGTGATATGAATTGAATTGTTGCTAATCATTCTTTAAAATTTTTGCTCCAGCCATCAGCTGTTCTTCAAAATTAAAGCACCTGATTTAGATTTAATGAGAAAATTATCCAATATGTTCAATTAATACATATTTAGCAACAAGTGTGCATATTATGTAAAACATGTTTTATAAGATAATAATTTGAGAGAAGAAACTGGATATACAGATATGTGAAAATGATTCAGCTATTTAATGTTGTGAGTGATCAATTTGTTAACTCAAAAATACAGATTTTTTAAAAAAGTATCAAAAATTAATTCATTTTTACAAGTTAGAAATAATATTTCATTCACTATGGATATATTGTCATCTTGGAAATGCTAAAAGAAAAATGTTTAATAACATGCAGAAACACTACATAACAGTGCAATGAAGATGAAGTTTACGTTTTGCTAATAGGGAAATTATATTTTTTTGTATCGATTGTAAGAAAAATCACATTCCATATAGTACATTTTCTATTTGTGTTGCTTCAGTGCAGCATATGTTTTTACTCCTGTTGCCATAAAGTAAACTTCAAGTCGTTAACTGGGAAGTTGATAAGATTGGGAATCATGATCAAGGTATCTCCAAATCTCCATCCCTCTTTTGGGTCCATAGGACATGGGAGGATATAAATATTATTCTATAGATATTCCTTTGCTCACCACTGCTACAGAGAGCAAAGGAACTGTGCATTCCAGACCTCTGCCTTGATAATGTTGGGATGCATTACCTGAGCTCCAGAGAGAAATGGTGGAGCTTACTGTTATACCTGTTTCTTTGCCTTCATAGTGACCTGGAAATATGTTTTATCATTACTTAACTCTTCACCCAATGCTGACTGGCTCCTGTTTGGTCCTAGAGGATTGGGTTGATTCAGTAGTCTGTAGGTTACAGATGACAAACAGAAGGATGAGGGAATGTCTCTATTTTCTGCCTGGGAAATTAAATAAAGATTAATTTAAGCAAGCAGGAGCAGCAGTATTATGTTTTTGGAAGTCAGAATACTATGTTCTTTTCCTTTCTCATCATCCCTAGCTTATGCTCTCTGATTTTAGCCCAGCTAGTTTAGTGCCTTCTAGATGATATCATATGATGCTTGGTTTTTCTGTTGCAGGTATTTTTCCACATTATTTTCCCAGTGACATTTGTATGGTCCCTGTGTTTGCCAAGGTCAAAATTCTTCGTATTTCCTCATGCGATTTTAAAAAACTTTTTGCTCCTCTGCCACTTCTTCATGATTTTTGATATCTACCTGATGGTGTTGTCTATCAGTGTAATTCATGTTTTTCCACTGCCACAGAATCAAAAGGTTCAGCTGAGTCTTTCATATGGGTGTCCTTGAAAATTCTTGCTAACCAAGGATCTCAGCTGCCTTGTGAAACTTGATTGCAGAAGTCTATATAAATAGACTGTAGGTAACGATCATTGTCTCATTTCTTCTATTCCCTCACAAAATTTCTTCCTAGGAAAAGAGTACATATATTCTTCCTAAAGGTGCTAGAAACAGACAAATTGATTGTTGCTAAGATGATGAGCAAGTAGAACATCTTATCCAGGTAGTATGCTTTACCAATCTAAAACTGGTCAAAACAAGTAAGTTCTGGAAGGAGCTTTGAAACTGAAGTCTGGCACACAGATAATGTTCACAAAGCACATACCTAGGCCAATATTTCCATCCATTATTCAGAGAAAAAAATAGAAAAGATGGGAGTGAGTGCCAGCAGAGACCATGTACTGGATTAATTGCACTGTGCACTTCTCTGACCCACACTATAATGTAGACCTGTTCCTGTTCTCCCTTTAATGCTGACCCATAAGCTCTTGGTCAGCTCCTCAACCATTCCCAGGCAGAGCTCCATGCACTCCAGCAGATCACTGACATAGAGGGTGACACCTCCTCCTCATCTCCCCTGCCTCTTTTTCCTAAAAAGCCTGTAGCTCTCCATTCCAACACTTCAATCATAGGAGCCATCCCACCATGTCTCTGTGATGCCAGTAGGATTACAGCCCCACAGATGTACGCACATCTCCAACTCCTGACGTTATTCCCCATGATATGTGTGTTTGCATAGAGGCAATTAATTTGGTGTCCTGATGAAGCCGAATTACTGGCTGGTGTGCTTGGAATTCCTCTGTGCTGTTCAGGTATTCTCCTGCTGATCTGCTATGCCTGTCCAGGCTCTGGATATCTCTTGCTGGCACCGACATCAAACTGGTAGGAGTGGGATGGATAGATGTTCCTCTCCAGCAGCAGCTTTAGTTTAAAGTCTGCTTTACCAGCTAGGAAAACCTATGACTCTTCCTGTTCTCTGCCAGATAGACCCACTCAGCCCTCAGTAGACCAGACCATGCTCATAAAGTACACAGCAATGTAGTGGATAGCTGCTTATAAAAAACAGATGTTTATGTTCTGGATATTATTCACTGCTGATGTCCATGCTGAATGATAATAAGGAGATGGCACTAGAAAGATTCTTTTTTTTTTTTAATGAGCGAATGTGAATAGTAAAATTCATTCTGTGTACCTATGGGAATTTATATCATGCTAAAAATGAAATTGCCAAGCCATCTGCACTGCTGAATGTTATGGTAAACCAAATGTAGCAATAGAAAGGCTGCTGTAAAACTCATACTACCACTGCCTCCATCATAACTTTCAACTGCACTTACTCCATGGCCTGAGAGTTTTATGTTGAAAACTAGGCTTACTATAGTGTCAGATCATGGAAGAGAGAAATGACAGAAACTTGATGTGGAAAACAGGGTAAGAGGAAGGGTGACCAGAAAAAAAAGTGCAGAATTAAATATTAAAATTTCAACCAATTTCAGTTGCATATAATTCTTTGAAATTTTGATAATTTATTTCACCACTCTAACACAGTGTTTTTATGCCACACTCTTCTTTCACTGCCCACATATTGCAACTGCATAGAATATGAACAAAAAAGTCTGTTGCTGTCAACCCAGAAGCACAACCATTCAGCATTCCTGTTCTATAAAGGAAGAACTACAGTTGATAAAAACTGCTTAATTGCTTGCAATAGTCAGTAGGTAAATGGTCTGAAGAATATCTAGAGGTAAATATCCATTGTTTTAAATGAAGCATAGAAATACAGGAGGCATCCTTTATTTCCAATAGGTTTTTAGAATGTCAAAGATAGATGTTGAAAGACTTCAAATAATTGCACAGTTCATCCTTCTCAATTGTTTCCC